CTGGAATGCACATTTAGGAATCAAGCATGAGGGGTATGTGCAGAGAGGGCAGCTCTTGCCTACAATGTGAATGACTACCATTCTCTTCCACTGATGTCATAACAATGCTCCAACCAGGCCTGCCTCCCTTGAGGAGGATATTTTCATTGTATGCACGTCTCTACTTCTTTTTTCTCTTAAAAAAAATTCTTTGTTATAAGGGATGGCTCCTTTGAAGTGGCAATGGGTAGAGGGATACATTGAGAAATGTAGGTGATGTAAATATAAAAAATAAAAATAGAAATTATTTTTCAAAGGTAAGATAAGGTCATTATTCTCCATTCATTGAACTTCATTCCTGCCTTTATTACTTATATTTCTTAGTATTAAAAGTGTTGGTTTTGTGTTACACATGAACCTGATTGTCTTCCTACAAATATAAGGTGTGTTGCCCACCTCTGCCTTGCTTAAATCCAATTCATGTGCAAGTCAAGACATCACCCATCGTCCACCAACACCGTGGTAAAGTTGGTCCACTTTGGAAACAAAGGACTAACAATAACAAATATTTGTATTGTATTTATTTTGCATATGTACTGGATAGGTGCACTTGTTTTCCTGATGCAATGCAAGCTTCTTGTGGGCAAGGTTTGTTTTATTTTTGTGATTGTATGCCCAGTGCCTAGCACAGCACTGGTATATATGAAATGTTGAATAAATGTTTGTTGATGAATAAATAAGTGGTCAAAAGGTAGAATCAGTAGGTTAAAAAAAAAAAAAGAATTGTCTTCTATAGATGACTCTTTGAAAACATGTTCCAAATCACTAATCATTAGAGAAACGTATATTCAGACAGCTCTTAGGGTTTGCACATTGGCAAAGGTGACTATGAATGGGAGCAGTCAATTTCAGGAGAGCTATGAGAAGACAGGGCATGCTAGTGCCCTGTTTGCACTGTTGGCAGAGCTTCAAATAAATCCAATCTTTTTGGATAGATGTTTGGAATTAGGCAAGAAAAGTGACTCCACTATTCATGTCTTTTACCCCTGCCTGAGCTCTCACTGCTGGCCATAGAGGTAAAGGCCAGGAACAAAGGTCTAAGCCAGGGGTGGGGAACCCTCGGCCTTGAAGCTACATAGGGCCCTCTAGGTCCTCAAGTGCAGCCCTTTGACTGAATCCAAACTTCACAGAACAAATCCTTTTATTAAGGATTATTTAATATAATGAGGATTATTATTATTAGACTCTAATCTATATCAAAACAGTCTGATGAGAATTTTTTTGTGGTAATAAAGATTTAGAAGGAAAAGTGAGTACCTATCAATTGGGAAGTATTTGAACAAATAATGGTATATGAATATAATATATTATTACTATGAAATAAGAAGTGACAAATTCTGAGAGAAGTGAGATGGGCATGAGCTGAAGCAAAACCAGGAAAACAATATACAAAATGACTACAACTGTACGAATGAAAAGATCACAAAGAAGAGGATGATCTTATGTCACTAAAAAACCAACAAAAGTCTCAGAGAAAGAATGAAGCAGTAGAAAGGTAGAAGAGTGGGAGGGCAGCATGCTCAATACAATGATCAGATGTGGTCGCTGTTTTAGGTCTTTTTGCTTAATATTTTTTGTTAAAAGGGAGGATTTGGGGGCAAGGTAGGTGGCACAGTGGATAGAGCACCAGCCCTGGAGTGAGGAAGACCTGAGTTCAAATCTGGCCTAAGACCAAACACGCATTAGCTGTGTGACCCTGGGCAAGTCACTTAACCCCATTGCCTATCAAAAAGGGGGGGGGATTTTGTTGGGGCAGGGTGATATATATATCCAAAAATAGGATATTTGTCTTAGACCAGGGTACTTAACTTGGGGTACATGGACCCCTAAGGTCCAGGGTTAGCTTTCATGGGATCTTTGAACTTGGATGAGAAAAAGGAATGCATCTCTATTTTCACTAACCACTAACTGAAATTTAGCATTTATTTTAACTATGAATTTAAAAAAAAAACCCAAACATGCTTCTGAGAAGGGTTCTTTGGGCTTTACCATATTGACAAAAGGGCTCATGGCACAACTCTTGCCCTATACTAAAATCTTCATGAGCTAATCTCATTTCCCAGCCAACAGGTCACTACCAACAAGTAGGCCTTTTGGCTTTCTCCACTCCCTCTCCCCAACTCTCCATATCAGGATGCAATAAAAATATGTTTAATCTCCCTCCAGAAAACCATCACTAAAATACTAACAGTAAACACATTTTTAAAAGCAAATAAACATTTAGTGGTATGCAATACTGCTGGGCTGTATGTGACAATAAAACAAAAAGGAGAGAAACAGGGAGAGAGTAAATTAACCTCTTTCCAGTAGTTTTTTCAAGCAGGAATAGTTCTTTCCCTCCCTGCTTGGTGAGTTCACTTAATAAGTAAAAGGCAAGCCCGGGAAAGAAGAAAGGCCTCTTCTAGGCTCAAAGTCAGTTCACGGGGAAATTGTACTGTATCTACTGCTGCTGTTGTTTGAGTCTTCCTTTGCCTTACCTCCCTCCATCCTGCCTCTCTTCTTCCCCTTTACATTTTCTTCTTCTCCTCCTCTTTCTCTCTCTACCCTCCAAAAACTAGTTCAAAATACTTCTTGGGTTGCTATAACCCTTCCCAGACCAAATCTCAAATTTGTCTTTTCTGTCTTTTCCAGGAAAATGGGTAAAAACTATAACTTCCAGGTCTTTAGTGACTTAGTGCCACCACTCCCTCCCCCCAACATAAATGGCAAACATTCCTAGACTTTCTACAAATGACTGTTAGGCATTTACACATTAATTACACATTAATTCAGGAAATATTTATGGAGCACCCATCTGGAGGAAAGGTATTCTATTTCCCCCCCCCACTAAACTTGAGAGTGAATGGCTTCCAGGGGTGGGGAACCTGTGGCCTCGAGGCTACATGTAGCCCTCTAGGTCCTCTGTGAAGTTTGGATTCAGTCAAAGGCTGCACTTGAGAACCTAGAAGGCCACATATGGCCCCGAGGTCATATCCCCACTCCTGGTTTTCTACAGGGTGTCATCTCTATTCTTTTGTATTGCCACCTTCTCTTTCTTTATATTAGAGATATTTCCCCAGGATTCCATAAATATCTTCAAATTAGCTATCTAAATATTCTCATCTATCAGGCTTTAAAATTTCTCTAGTGTTAATGCTTCCCCTCCTCCCCATTCAGTGGCAATTCCTTCCTATGTGTGAAGATCACTCCCTGAAAATTTTTTTCTCATATCATTTGGCCTAGACTGAGATCTGCACATAGAGTTCCCATTGAATTAACTCCATTTACGACAAGCCTTCTTAGTCTGTTTTGTGTCCTAGGCCCTTTTGTCAATCTGGTGAAGCCTATGGACCCCTTCTCAGAATGTCTTTCAATGCATAAAATAAAATACACAGAATTACAAAGGAAATCATATATATATATATATATATATATATATATATATATATATATATATATATACACATACACACACACATATATACACACACACACACATATAGTATACACACATATGTATATATTTTTATATCTATATGTACATATGTGTGCATATGGCCACCTAGCAATAGTTCTGTAGTAAATAGAGTGCCAGGCCTGGAGTTAGAAAGACCTGAGTTCAAATTTGAACTCAGACACTTCCTAGTTGTATGACCCTGGGCAAGTCACTTCACCCTGTTTGCCTCAGTTTCCTCATCTGGAAAATGAGCTAGAGAAGGAAATGGCAAATCATTCCAGAATCCTTAGCAAGAAAACCCAAAGAGGATCATGAAGAGTTGGACATGACTGAACAACAATATATGTGTATATATGTATATGTATGTATATTTTGTGTGTGTATGTGTGTGTGTGTATTTTTTTCATGGACCCTGTGGTTAAGAATACTTGATTTAAGATCCTGTTTAGGAAATGGACTTCCAACCTAAAGCCCTTTTACAATTACTTTTTCTAGCCTAATCATCTTTCTCCTTGGTAAATTGTTTCTTTTCTCTGGGTCTTATTTTCCCTTCCATAGTCCCTTACAGTCCTAAATCATTTCCTGACCATCCATCCAGCCTCCTCTTCATTGCCTTCCCTCCCATTCTGCCCCTGAGAACCTGGGCTCTGATGGGAGAGGTTTAAGCTTATTTGGACTGGAATCAAGTTTCCATATCACTTCTAAAGCTGATCCTTCCCTCTTTTTGCAGAAGCCAGTGCTCAGTACATAATAATACTTAATAAATGTCTCATTCATTCATTCATCTAGTGAGTTTGGATTTCTGTTTTGAGTTGAAGGTAGGTTTGATCTGAAAGTAAGGGGAAACATTGGTTTCTGATGCTTATTTGTGCTTTTAACAAATTCATTACATTTTGGAAAAGGATTGGTCTGTAAGGAGGTAAAAAGTCCACAGCCTCCTGAGAGGTCTCTTTACCTTCATGTCTATCACTTCTCTTTTCTTTTTCTTTTTTTTTTTGGATAGGCAATGGGGTTAAGTGACTTGCCCAGGGTCACACAGCTAGTAAGTGTTTGTTCTGAGGTCGGATTTGAACTCAGGTCCTCCTAAATCAAGAACTGGTGCTCTATCCACGGCGCCACCTAGCTGCGCCAAGTCTATCACTTCTCAACACCCTCCTCATGCTCTTGCTAAAGTAATCTTCCTGAAGTTCAAGCCTGCCCCTGTCTCTCCCCTAATCAATAAACTCTAATGACTCCCTGTTACCTTTAGGCTCAAATATAAATTTTCCTGTTTAGCTTTTAATTGTAGTGATATGCCTGTGGGGGGGAGGGGGCTCCTGAGGGGACTTGTGCAGAGCTGGGGGGAGGGGAATCCTGAGGGAACGTGTGCAAAGCTGAGGAGGGCGCCAATGAGAATGCGCGCGTACTGAGGCGCGCCTGTCGTGTCGTGTGCAGAGCCAGGAAATAGCGGGAAAGGCTCTGTGGTGACGTGTGCACGAGCCAGGCGCCTGTGGTACCTGGCGCCAAACGCAGTGGCCCAGCATCCTCTGGCTGTCCGCCATTTTCAGTCGGGATAGCTGTCTGAGCTCGGAGGCCCCATTCGCAAAGCCGCCATGCCTTGGAGGCACAAGGGGAAGGCCGCCGTTAGTGGTGCGCAGTCTGACACAGAAGATGAAGAGCAAGCTTATGCTACTCCTAAAGGTGGGCAGAAGGTTCGCCGTAATGAAGGAAGTGAGAGAACCGGTAGAGCTGAGGGAGGAGAAAGAAGCCAACGCCATGTTGAAGCTCAGAGAGGCGAAAGATCTACTAGAGTTGAGAGAAGTGGGGGGCCCATTCAAGCCAAGGGGAGAGAAAAGTCTGCCAGAGGTGAGGGAGGCGATGGGTCTCTTGGAGCCAGGAGAAAAGAAAGACCTGCTCCGGTAGGGGGAAGAGATAGAGCCGCCCAAGCTGAAGGAACGGAGGGGCCCGGCCGAGGGCAGAAGTCTGGTCGAGGTGGGAAGGCGGCTGGTGGTGGGAAGTCGCAGAGAGGTGGAAAGCCCAATGAAGGCCAGAATCCTAAAGGAGATGAGAAAGCCGCTGGGGCCTCTTCTGAGAGGCATAGGTCCCACGGAGGGCAGAGGGCCATTTTGGTTCTGTCACACAGAAATCCTGGCAAGAAGGGCGGTAAACGGCAGCCATCCGAAGACAAGATTAATGCTAGCCTCCAACGACAAATCATTCCGTGTAGATTAGTGCAGAAAAATCTCATACTGCTCGTCTTCATCTTTGTCTCCATTATATTGTTTATATATTGGACTTTTCCTGATCTTACTGAGGAAGAAAAAGCAAAATTGAAGGTTCCCAGAAATATGGAGGAAATCAGGGCCTTAGGAGAACTTTTACTGAAATACAAGGACAGCTTTTCGGTGTAAGTATTTTTAAAATTATTTTGCCATATATATATTTTCTTGCAAATATTTGACCTCTCGGAGTATAATATTTCTTAATATTCTGTCAGACTTTCTCTCTCCATCCTAACTGGTCTTATTTCTTGTTTGCCTGTACTCTGGCTTCTCTGCTTCTTGCTATTATGTGCTTTCCTTTTTCGTTGATACCAGTCAGTCATGTCAAACTTTACATACGGAGAGGGTCATGGCAGATTAAGGTCATCTTATTGATGGCATCAGATTTTGAGGATAATACCTTTTGTGCCCCATAGAGCAACTCCCCTTATACGTGTATAGTTGAGATTATTTTTCCTTGGTACTTTTCTCGGTGTTACTTCTCCATCTTTTGTAGGAGTCAATGCAAGTACAGCCTCATGCTTGCTTTCAGTAGCAGAAGTTATTTTCTGGTATCACCACTTAGTGTGATGGTTTTAGCAGTTCTCTCCCATCTGCCAGCTAGCTACCTTCTGAAGCAAACTGAAAGAAGAATTTTAAGTAAAACATATGTGAATCTTAATTTCCCTGTACTACATCTTGGGACTACAATTTCATATATTTCTGTTTTCAAATAATTTCTTCAGCAGGGGGACAAAAAGAACATTTTCCTGGCCAGCAGTTGAGGGAAAGGGCATGCTAAGTGGGGAGGAGGAAGAGGAACAAGGAAAGGGTATTATTTTAGTTACTCTTAGGCGGTTAAAATAATGAATAAATATACAGCTGCTCTATAGGTGATAACTGCAGACAAATATTAGTGGCAAGTTAGAACCCTTCATGTAAATTCTGTGCATGTAACTCCCCTATATTCTGGGTACCTAGACATACTTATCCAAAAAGGACTGTTAAGGTTTGGTGCTTTTTTTTTCCCTCATAAAATAATAATTTAATGAATACATGTCTTGATAGAAATGATATTTGATAGATAGTGTTACCCTGCCCACCTACTTCATCCTTTTCACAGAGAAGCAACTGGAAAAAATGATCCAGAAATGTTCTATTTACTTTTTCTCCATTTTTCACACTCATGCTAGTAGATGTCTTTAAATCCAGCCTCTTGGCAGACTAAGGAATGCAGCTGAATATCAAGTTATTTCTACTTCTATGTTTTGATTTTTGTTCTGAAAAAAAAATTGTTTTAATTATTGCAAGTAAGAGTATTAAACCTTTCATGACCTAAGTTTAATGTTTGTCAAAAGAAACAAATGGTATATGTTTGAGTTCTAAAAGATGAGCATCAGAATTGCCCATTACTTTGTGAATTTTGTTGCTGTTGTAAGTCGTCTTTTATATAGTTGTAGTCATCATATGTATCTTTCTGTTGGTTCTATTTTCTTCCCTCTTTGTGTCACTTTATATGGATCTTCCATGTCTGTTGCTCTATAATTTATGGAGGAATAACATACATTACACTCATAGATCGTAATTTGTTCAGCCATTCTCCAATCACTGGGCACAACGTTTAACAACTTTTGTGTTACTATTTTAATAAATAATACTCCTAGAAATGTTTTTGAATAGATAGGGCTTTTCTTCTTGTCAGTAATTCACAGGGAATATAAGCTAATAGTGGCCTTGTTGGCTGAAATGCTACGAACAATTTTGTAGCCTTTATTGTAAGATTACAAACCTTCAAAAATAATTGGGTTAAATTACATCTCATGTATCTGTTTGGAATTAGTGGTGAACTAGTGTACTACCTTTACACAGTCCAGGCAACATTAATTATTCCTCCTTCTTTTACCATCTTTGCAAATTTCATGCGTGGGAGGCCATTCCTAAAGCTTGTTTTAATTTGCATTTTGACATGTTTAATGCAAAAATTTCCTTCCTAGTCCATAGCTTATTTTTGTGACTTTAATTTTGTTTGTGAAGAATTTTTATTTTTCTAAAATCAGCATTGCCTACCTTGTCTTTTTAGTAAATCTCCATGTTACAGCTAGTTAAAAATTCATCTCATCCACAGTTGTAAGAGACATGACCTTTGACTTGGTTATGGAGATGCAGTTGATGACAGCGCAGGTTTCCTGGCATCTGATACCACAAGCCTTTGGATTCCTTTTCGTGGATGGAGAATGATGAATTTTCATGATGGGGAAGAGGAGCATTTGAAGAAACAGTTTTAGAAGAAGTAAAGTGCCTGGTGGAAAAAAAAAATTGAAAAACAGAGGGTTGGTGTTTATTTGCTTTTAACACTAATTTTAGTGTTAAGTTAATAACTCTCCCTCCTCAAAGTCCCCTGCATTCATTTATTCCACCAGTAAAATAAGAGTTCATTCATAGTAGAAGTTTTGTTTGTTTGGGGATTTTATCTTTTTATCCCCAGAACCTAACAGCACAGTTTCTAGTTCATAGGTAGTGGTTAATAAACATTTACTTGCATCGAACCTCCGTTCTCCTTTAATGTCTTGCAGCATGACGTTATGTTTAGTCAGTTTATCCATTTGAAATGTGTTATGGTATATGGCATCAGGACCGACCGAAACTAATTTTCTGCAAAACTCCTTTCCAGTTTTCCCAGCAAATTAGATAATATTTTCAAAGCTCCTAGCACATTGCTTGGTACACAGTAGGTACAATTTAAATGCTTATTCCTCTTCGCTTCTCAGCAATTTTGTTGAATAGTTTTTCCCCAGTATAATCATTCTTGGGTTTATCGAAGACTAGTTGGTTATGTGGTTTTCCTTTCACGTCTTGATGCTTGTCTAGTCATTCCCATTGATCAGTGTTTCTAGTTTTAAAAATTCAGTACCAGTTGGTTTTGATAATAACTAATTTGAGATCACTGGTAAAGCTAACCCCCCTACTTTTTTTTTCATTATTTCACTTGATATTCGTGACATTTTGTTCATTTATGTGAATTTTGTTATCAATTTCTCTAATTTTATAAATTGTCACACCCTGTGACACTTGGTATAGCATTAAACCTATAAATTAATTTGGGAAGGCAGGGTCATTTTTTCACTATATTGGTATAACCCAGCCATAAATATTAACTATCTCTTCAGCTAGTGGCAGACAGATGGTTCAATGGATAGAGCTCTGGGCCTGGAGATATGAGTTCAAAATCAGGGGCAAGCAACTACTGTGAGATCCTGGATAGGTTACTTAACCTTCATCTGCCTCAGTTTTCTCAACTGTAAAATAGGGATAATAATAACACCCACCTCGCAGGGTTGTGAGTATAAAATGAGATAAGAGAAAGCATTTAAGATAGTTCCTGGTACATAGTATACGCTTAATAAATGCTTGTTTCCTTTCTTATTCAGATCTTCCATTTCTATGAAAATTATTTAGTAGTTATGTTTATCACTATCTGTGTTTTAGTAGGTAAATGCTCAGAAGGAGGGAGAGTAATTTTGCATGATATTTTACTTTTCTTCTTTTTGGTTTTTGTTGTTAATAGCCAAAAATGCTGCTGGGTTTTATAAACTTTTTTCTTATTCTGCTAGTTTGATGAATCTGTTTCCTCAATTAAAAAAAACTTCTCTAGGGTTTTCCAAGTTAAAAAAATCACATTCATAAATATAGACAACATTTTATTTTTTCTAATACTTATTCCCTTAATATCTTTTGCTGATCTTTATGTAGCTAATATTTCTCCAGTTTTTTCAAATAATAATGATGGCAGGAGGCACCCTTGCTCCACTCCTGATCTTATTGGGAGAATTTCAAGTGTTTCTCTATTAAAAATAATGGTAGCTCTTGGTTGTAGTTCAGTGCTTTTGATCATATTTAACAAAGGTCCTTTCATTCTTACAGCATTAGGATTCCTCTCTATAGCCATTCTCTCAAATATTTCCTTTTGCACACTGTGCTGTTTCCAATATGGGCAATTTTCTTATAGGATATGCTGGAATATAGTATTCAAACTCTTTGTTTCTTCATATTTATGTGGGAGATAAACAGTTCTCAAATTTCCTCACCAAGTTCTATCTTCTAACTCTTGCTTCAGTTTCTGGAGATCTGAAGCATTCTCATTGGCTATTTAAAAATGTTGCCCTATTCTTTAAATTCTTTTTTGTGTTCTGCATGGGTGTTTCAGCTCCTCAGTTTTATTAAGATTTTCCATTTTTACATTCAGCTTCTTATAGTCTTCCTTCGGTGATCTTATTACTATTCTTATAGATGCCAGATCTTCCTTAAATCTCTTGTCAAATTTCTAAATCATTCGGAAATTCCTTGTAGTACATCTTTCTCTCTTCTGACAGTCTAGTCTAGGGTTCTTAACCTAGGGCCCATGAACTTTAAAAAAAAATTTGAGAACTTTATTTCAATATAATTGCTTTCTTTTGTAATCCTATGTACTCTGTTTAAAATTTTTATTCTGAGAAAGAATCCATATGTTTCACCAGACTTCTAAAGGAGTAGTTGTTGTTTGGTTGTTTTTCAGTCATGTACTATATTCTTCATGATCCCATTTGGGGTTTTCTTTGTAAAGATCCTAGAGTGGTTTGCCATTTCCTTCTCCAGCTTATTTTACAGATGAGGAAACTGAGGCAAACAGGGTGAAGTAAGTTGCCCAGGGTCACAAGGCTAGTAAGTGTCTGAGATCAGATTTGAACTCAGAAAGGTGAGTCTTCCAGACTCCAGGTTTAGCTCTCTATTCACTGTGCCACTTAGCTGCCCCTTCTAAAAGGGTGCACAGAACAAAAAAGGTTAAGAACCCCTGCTCTGAGTGAATTCTTGCTCTTTCCTTCTGAAGATTTCTCCAGTTTCTTTTGCACTATATTTATTCATTTTATGGAGTCCTCTTTTTTTGTTTACTCATTTATTCATTTTTCCTGAGAGATCTTCCCTAAGAGGGTTTATTTTCTTTCTCCTATTTTAATTTTTTTTTTACTTTATCAGTACTCCTTTGAGGGCGGTATAAGGGAGCCGTGCTTATTCACCACCACTCACTCAGCCAACCTGTTGGAAGTCTAAAGTCAAGCCTAATTGACTGTGAAAAGGTTTTTAAAAATTACATGATCCTCACTAAAATAATTGGAAACAATCTGGAGTATAGGAAAACTGGTGCTGAGAATCACAGTTTGGTGGGGGAAAACGCATTTCCAAGTTCTTAGCCAAGTCTAATTTACATTGAACTGACTTACAACATTCAGAGCCACCAAAGGCAGGCTGGGTGTAGAACTAGTGCAAGGCTTCTTAAACTTTTTCTACTAGTGACCCCATCAGCGCCCCACAGTTTAAGAAACACCAAACTAGTGAATAGTTTTGATACACTGCCATCTCTTTCCAGAGCAAACTCAGAGGAGCCAGAAGTAGTGACTTGAGCAGGCCCACCTAAGCTTCCATCTCCTCCTAATAATATTCTCATTCTTACTTTCTCCCATTGTGATTGTTTTTGCTAATAGCTCCTTGCCAGTTTATGTCACTACGTGAATGCCATTGCTGTGCCCTTTACCCTGCTCATCGATGAGTGGCTAGTCCCCTGTGTTCCTACATAAGTACTGATTTAGGAAATAGGATGAAATCAAATTACAAACATGGGTTTGTTTGCACATCCCAGAAATTTACCTAAGGAGACAGAGCTACATTGGAACTGCTTATTATGCAAATTCTTTCCAAACCAACTTGTAATAAAGAAGACCAAAGCCAAGTGGAAATAATTCTTAAAAATCATCTTGAAGAAGTGGAAGGAGTGATTGAGTCAGTATTGGAGGGCCTGGTTTCAAAGCCTGACTCCACTTCTTACTAGCTACACAACTTTTCTGGGCCTCATTTTCCTTATCTGTGAAATGAGAGGGTTGAACTATACCAGAGATTTCTGGTTTTCTTTGTGCCATAGACCCCTGTGACAGTCTGATGAAGCTCAGGGACCCCTTTCCAAAATTAAAAAAAAAGTTAAAAGTTGTTTCAAAGTTTTTAAATGCATGAAATAAAATATATAAGATTACAAGGGGGAATCAATTATATTGAAATACAGTTCTCAGTATATTAAAGAAAAAAATGGTTCATGAACCTCAAGTTAAGGCCCCTATACTAGAGGATATTGAAAGTTCCATATAGCTTGCAAGTCAATGACCTGATGAATTTTGTTAAAGCATTCCTTTTCATAAGGGTACAGTTAAGGGGGTTAGGGGGTGGGGAGAGGACAGGGTTGTAGTTTGTCTAAATCCATAGCCTTTAATTGTTTCTATGATGATCATTGTAAAGCCATTGCTTCATAAACAGCACAAGTATCGGAGAACAGTCATGTGGATGGACTAAAAGACATTGAGATTTGGCTTTGGGTCTGTTTTTTTTACACTTGAATATGAATGTTTAGATGATTCACTTCAAAGAATATAGAGGCAACATAAGAAAATCTCCTTCAGAAACGGTAGGGTCCTTATTCTTATTCTCTTGCTCTCTGTTCCCCCTTCCCCTCCAAAAGTTCCACTGCATTACCTCTGAGACTTCTATAAAGCACCAGCTGCTCTTCTCCAAGATTGCTGTTCGCTTTGCCTAGATTGGAGGAGATAAAGTGTGCTCATTTAAAAGGCGTCATCCTGGGCTACAGGGTATATAGGGGAGGAAAAGTACACAGGAGAGAGAAAGAATTATCTATAATGGGATTTTATTATCTCTGCCTAATTCTCTTCTTAAGAACTTGAAAGCTTTGAGCTGGTTATATATACAGGATTTGTAAGAAAATCAAATGCTTCCAATGTTGTCCACTCAAGTCATTTTTGAAAACTTGGTTTAGATGGAATCTTTAAAGTTATCATGAGTTTTAGGGGCACCTACAGTTAGCATATTCTCTATTTTGAAAATAATATTGGGTGGGGAGGGAGGGAGAAAATTTGGAGCCCAAAGTTTTAAAAACACATGTTAAAAAGACTTTTCACATGCAACTGGGAAATAAGAAATACAGGAAATGGAGTATAGACATGTATCCTGCCCTACAGGAAAATAGAAGGGGAAGGGTATAAGAGAAGTAGGGGGAGGGATGAGATAGGGAGAAAATTTGGAACTCAAAATCTTGTGGAAGTGGGGGGCAGCTAGGTGGAGCAGTGGATATAGCACTGGCCCTGAAGTCAGGAGGACTGAGTTCAAACTTGGCCTCAGACCAAACACTTGACACTTAGTAGCTGTGTAACCCTGGGCAAGTCACTTAACCCCAGTTGCCTAAAAATTTAAAAAAAATCTTGTGGAAGTGAATGTTGAAAACTAAAAATATTTTTTTTTAAAAAAAGAATGAAACAAAAGAAAATAATATGTTGGGGATGGTGAGAAGTCCCATATGGTCAAACTCTTTCCTATAGTTCACATACTTTCCTATAGTTTGCAAGGGATATTTTTGTGCATTTTCTTTACTAACCCTATAGGACAAATTCATTGGAGAAGCTATTCAGTCTGTCACCCATCACTTGAGAAAGCCACTCT